TTTTCTCTTCCTTAAACTATAAAGATTTTAAAATAAAAAACCCCAAAATTTAGCACAAGTCACTAAATACTGATTTTTCAGTGGAGAACAGCTTGATTCTGAAGATTATACAATTTCCTCAATGTCTTAATAAGTAAGAGAATAACTGATTAGGAAACTGATTTTAAAAAGTTAGAAGAACTGAGAAGGAAATTAAGGGGGTGATTAAGTTTTCATCACAGGCTAGCTTGAATGGAGACTCATTAGGAACTTAGCAGTGAGATCTGGGGAACTGAGATGGTTCTCAAGGAAACCCATCCAAACAGAGGACCACTTAAACCTTAGGGGTCTGGGAAGGCTGGAATTATCTGTGCATGTGTAGACAGAGCCATTGTGAAGGCACATGGAGTGGACACAATTTTGGGCATTTTATTTGTAGCAAATGGCCACTTTTAAATGGAAAGCCTCAGATTTCCTCATGGATACTCTAAAAATTCAATAAGCTTCAAAGCTCACAGCAGACTTTCCATGCAGGCTTCCTAACCTTCCAGACATTTTTATCAGCCTTCTGATTAAAGCTCCCATCACACTATCCACACCATCCATCTGGTGTCCCTGATCTGCTGGGCCTTACTCCAACATGCCTACAGCTTCCACCTTCGTGCTCATGCTGTTCCTATGCATGACAAATTCTTGCTTACACTTCAAGATCTTGTTCAAATGACATGTTCTCTTTGGAGCCCTCTCTCCTACCCAAGGCATAATTAGTAACTCTCTTTTTCTTCGGTTTTCCAACAGAATAGGGTACAGTGTGAAGAAATGGAAAGGACAAATGTTCTGCTGTCAAAAATGATCTGAATTTAAATATATCTTTATTGACTTCAGAGAGAGGAAACAAGAGGGAGAGATAGAAACATCAATGATGAGAGAGTCATTGATTGAGCCCGCAACCCGGGCTTGTGCCCTGACCGGGAATCGAACCCCGATCGCCTGGATCCTAGGTCGACGCTTAACAGCTGAGCCACGCCCGGCTGGGCTGATATGAATTTAAACCTGACTCTTGCACCTATTTGCTGTGTGATCTTAGGTAAACTAGTTAATCTGAGGCTCTGTCTCCTGATATTGAAAATGGAGATTGTTAATTCTCTAAATTTATTGGGATCATCAGTGATATTGTACTCATTATTTATCTTCCTTTATTTTTCTTTGTGAGCTCCTTGAGATGAGCGACTTTGCCTTTTTATTTACTTTGCTGCCCCTCACAGCACCTAGCATACAGTACCTGGTATTTTGCAGTACTGAAGTGTTTTGCTTTGTTTTTAAAATCAATGGATAGTTCAGAAGTAACTTAAGCATCTGATAGGTCAATTAAAGTCTAAGTTCTATGAAGTACTCTCTGGTTATCCCACGCCCATTAATTTTTAAAAAAATATATTTTTATTGACTTCAGAGATAAATCAGGGAAGGGAAGGGGAGAGAGAGAGAAACATCAATGGTGAGAGAGTCATTGATCGGCTGCCTCCTGCACACCTCCTGCTGGGTATCGAGCCTGCAACCTGGGCATGTGCCCTGACTGGGAATCGAACCTCGATGCTCAACCGCTGAGCCATGCCGGCCTGGCCCATGCCCATTAATTTGAATTCTCATAGTTCTTGTCATTTCCTGCTTCACACATACTAATTGATTCTAAGCTACTCCAGGCTAGTAACCATGACTTTCACTCTGAACTTGGGCAACACTTCACAATGCTCTGTAAATGCCAGCGAATGATAAGGCTATTCAAAATACCATGTCTTTCTCATTCCAAAGAGTTTTTCTCTTCATTTTATGCTAAATTTACTCCATGGAACTAGAGACTGAAGCCTCTATAATAATGACTTATTTCTATGGTTCATGACCTTGGCTCAAAGTGAGTGGTATCTCCTGACCCACTTTCCCAGCTCTACACAGTTTCTCTCTCCTCTTTTCGTGTACTTTCTCTTAACTGCCTTTTGCTTTCCACAAGTGTCTTCTCACTGATGCATTATTCTCATGGAGATTTGGAAAACTTTGGTTCATTGTTTCTTGATTAATTGACTCATGGGGAATTACAACTGGTGGGCACCTTAAAAAATTGTTGAATCAAGGCACATCAAATAGAGAACAATTCCCAAGGTATTATGCAAAGTAATCAATCATGGCACTATTTTTCCCCCTGCCGAGGTCACACGTGGCCTCAGAATCATTTTCAACACACTACTGCAGGTAGAAATTATCAATCTATCAATCTATATAGGAGATGAAACTTGTCTGACATACCTGATGTAGTTCAAAGCTGTTATTTTGCTAATAAGGCCCAACGGGCAGTGGTGACTTAGTCATGAACTGAAACCAGAACCCAGGTTACCTAATTCTCCTGATTTTAGTCCAGGGTTTCCCTTTCCACATGATCACTGCTTCTCTTTCCATGGCCATTCAAGTCCTGGAATTTATATTCTGTGCATTGGTGCATACTTAAGAGTATATAAAAATATGATTAAAAAGTACAATACACAAGTTTTGGCTTTATCAAAAAGACATCTGGGCTGTAATATGCTGAATCTCAAGTTCTACCTCTGTGCTTGGCACATGGTAGGTATTCAACAAAATTCTTTGATATATATAACAGGAAATCTATCCTTAATTTTTCAACAATAATCATTGAAAAATACCATCCCTTTGTATATAAGCAGTACTTATTTAAAAGAACTTCATGTATGATGACATATACCTTCACTTTTTATAGAGTAACATCATATGTTTAAATAAATTCCCATCTGGATGTTTTAAGGGAAAATAAATTATTTTGTTAATGAATGGACTGCCCAATAGCATTTCCACTTAAAAATAAAAAGGGCAGTGTTGTGATTTGGGGCTCAAAAGTCCTGAGAAATGATAGCTTTTCTTCCTGTTTTTCATAGTGACATATATTGACCATAACTTGTGGTTCTCACAAATCAGAACTGCTAGGATGGAAAAACAAAGGAAAGGAGACAAACAGAAAGAGAATAGGAAGAACAAAGGGGGTAAAGGTATTTTATAATATAGCAAGAAGATACTAGTATTATCATATAAAATAGACTTAAAAAGCTGTAAACCCGACAGTTAACATCATACTTAATGGTGATAGACTGAAAGCTTTCCCCCTAAGGTCAGGAACAAGGCAAAGATGACTGCCTTTGCCACTTGTATCCAATATTGTACTGGAGGTTCTAGCCAGGGCAATCAGGCATGGCAAAGAAAGAAAGAAATTAAAGTTCTATCTTTTTACCTATGACATGATCTTCCAAAAGAATAAAATTGGAACCTTACCTCATATTACATTTAAAAACTAACTCAAAATGGATCAAATACCTAAATGTAAGAGCTAAAGTCATAAAACACTTAGAAAAAAATATCGACATAAATCTTCATAACCTTGCATTAGGGGATGATTTCTTAGATATAACACCCAAAACACAAGTAACAAAAGAAAAAAAGGAGATAAACTGGACTTTATCAAAATTAAAAACTTTTGTGCACCAAAGGACACTATCAAGAGAGTAGAAAGACAACTCACAGAATGGGAGAAAATATTTAGAAAGCGTATATTTGATAAGAGATTCAGAATATATAAGGAATCTTTAAAACTCAACAACAACAACAAAAGAAAACAATTTAAAAATAGGCAAAGAATCTGAACAGACATTTCTCCAAAGAAGATATACAAATGGCCAATCAGCACATGAAAAGATGCTCAACACCTACAGCCATTAGAGAAATGCAGATCAAAACCATAATGAGATACCACTTCAGACCAAATAGGATGGCTATAAGCAGAAAGACATAAAATAACAAGTGTTGGTGAAGATGTAGAGAAATTGGAACTTCCATATACTGATAGGAATGTAAAATGGCACAACTGCCTTGGAAAACAGTCTTGCAGTTCTTCAAATGACCCAGCAATTCCACTCCTAGGTATATCCCAAATGGAAATAACTGTGTGCCCACACAAAAAACTGTACATGAATGTTCATAGCAGCATTATAAATAATAGTCAAAAAGTGGAAACAACCCAAATATCAATCAACTGATGAACAGGTAAATTAATTGAGGAATATCTACAATGGAATATTATTTGGCAGTGAAAAAAATAAAGAAGTTATACATGCTACAACATAGATGTGCTTTGAGAACATAGTGTAAAGTAAAAGAAGCAGCCACAAAAGACCACATAGTGTATAATTATGAAATATCCAGAATAGGCAGATTATTTATAGAGACAAAGCAGATTAGTAATTGCCTAGGGCTGGGTGGGGATGGAGCTGGGGTTGGGAGAAATGGAAAGTGACTGCTACAGGATCTCTTAATGGGGTGATGGAATGCTCTAAAATTATGGTGGAGGTTGCATAACTCTCAATATAATGAAAACCTTTGGAGTGCATACTTAAATCGGTGAGCTATATGGCAGTGAATTATATCTCATTAAAGCTGTTATTTAAAAAGATACATGTGCATATGAGTAAATATTTTAATTTTAGTGATTAGATTTCATTTGTTAATTCTCTTCTATGTCTGTCACAACAATCCATGTATTCACTTAGATGATCCATATGTGTATTTCCATGATCACTGTCTTAGCTTTATAATGTGTAACAGACTAGACATATTTTATGATGAGCAGTATCTTTTATGAAATCCATCTTTTTAGAACACTTAATTTAAAATAAATTAAAAAATGAAAACATCTAAATTACATCTTTTCTTTTTCATTGTAGTCATTATATCACCTTCATCAACACATGATTTCTCCTGACCCTAGCAGCTTTACTCCCAGGATTTAATATATTTACCATAAATCTACTTCATCGGAAATTACATCATTACTTTTAGCAATACATTTATAACAGTGCTCTACTGTCTGGTAGCTTCATAATTTGTTTGCTACTGAAAGACTAAATGTTAATTATAGTTAAATCCATGGCAACTGAGAGAACTTAATGTTTTGATTATTTTGTACCTACCCCTTTTGAATCAATCACTCCGGGTTTTGCATTAAACTTCACTGTCTTCAATCGGGCACGTTCCTTTCTTTCCACCCTAAAGAAAATTGAAAATAAAGACTCTATCACATGGTCAGTCATTTATGATTAAGTTCCTCATTAAATGAAGGGCACCTCTTCTTCTTGTCAGACAGCTCAAATAAAATGTGTTCTAAAATATTTCTGTCCCTTTGTTCAGTATAGAAAGTCTTGGTACAAAGTCTTTAAGCTGCTAACACATCCCTTGAAATTTCTGTGATACATGTACTGAGTAGCAGTATTTGGAACAAAGAGGGAGAAAAACCAATATTTGTTATTTAAATGCCTGAATCAATCAATCAAAAGATATTTCAAGAAATCACAGCACATAGAGATGATGCCAAGAGTGGAGACTAAGTCGACGTCTCTCCTCTCTCTCTGACCTTCTCACCTCTTCTCTCTTTTTTTCTTTGTTCCCTTTTTCTTCCCTTCCCTTTAAGAACACTGAGGGGTTTACTACTTTCAGCTCAAAACCAAACATGTTATAATCTTGAACTTTTCCGTTGCCCCAATGTCCTCTCCTGTCATTCTTCTGCAGATTTCATCATCTACCTGCCATGTCACTTATTAATGACTTACGGAGCGCCTACCCTGTATGGAGCAAGGAGCTAAGAAGAAGGAATGAACATTTTAAAAGCATGACTGTAATGAACATAAGACTCATAATGCTGCACAGTAAGACTGCTGATAGCAGTGTGGGAGCATATATTGCATGGAGGTATAAAGAGAAGTGGAAAGCATTGGGGTGGGCTTCTTGGAGGAGGTGCCAATTTATGTGAGACCTGAAGGATGAGAAAGAGCCTGTCAGGAGGAAAAGTTCAGGGAGAATTTCCCAGACAGGAGAGACAACATGCACCGTGACCCGAGCCTCTAAGCAAGCTGACGGGTGCAGGAGGACCCCGGTACACGGTGTATACAGGGTGGGGGTGTTAGGCTACTGGTGAGGCCTCCTTGTAAGGTCCATCCACACTGAGGACTGGGGCTTTTTCCTTGGGGAATCCTCATGAATTATTAGAGGCTATAAAAAAGGAAAGTAATAGAATAGATTAGCATTTTAAATAAATGATCCTGGTGAAGGAGAAACATAGACTGGAGGAGGAAGGGACAGCTCGAAGCAGGAGGTCTCTTTGGAAGAGACCTCCTGCGGGAAATGATGAGAAATGGTAATGAAGTGGAGGAGAGAGAAGGGCTCGAGGAATATTAGTGAAATAAAATTTCTAGGACTTGTGCCTCGTTTGAAGGCTGGCATTGAAAAAGAGGAAAAGGCAGAAATTTAAATATCTCCCTAATTTTTTTTCCCCTCTCCAGTGTGACATGATCATCTCTTCCCCTGCGCCACAATAGCACTTATTTGTGTCTCTATGTGGGTGTTCTTTCTCGGTTCCCTGTGTTTGTTTCTTTCTGCACATGCAAGGCTCTAGGACCCTCGAGAACAAGCCCACATATCACTCCACAGTGTGTTATAACAAGTCCTCAATAAATAACTGTTGAACTAAAATAATATTCACTGCATTGTTTTAACATGATGTTTCGTTTAAATATGGCTAGCTCTTATTTCAAAAATGGGGAAAGAGAGAGGAAAAACCTAAATCTCCAGAAACTTAATGCTTTCTGAAATCTAAGCTATTCATAGATTAATAATTAACAACATGCGCCTTTTAAACTGTGAGCTCTTTTGTGCTTCCAGCTGAAACACAGTGAGAATCAGGGTTTCTATAGTTACAGAATGGAGTTTCAGAATATATTTATTTCAACGTGAGAGTAGAATATTTGAGTGGAAACAGCTGAACACAATTTTTCAAATCTAACCTCAGATATTAAAGCAATATGTTCCACGGAGAGTTTCTACTTGAGCCCAACATACAGCAGCTGGGAGGAGAGCAAGGAAGTCTTCAGATAAGGTAAGCGGCCAACTGGGAAGATGCTCACTGACAAAATGCCTTCTCTGAGCTCCTTCAGCTTTTCTGTTTTAATCCAGGAGCAAATGCTAATTCATATTCATTTCCTTGGATTTTTCTAAAACTGCGGTTACAGCCCTGACTTTATCCTGGCTTCTTTGCATCAACCAGGCTAATTATGGAAAAGACTAGTCCAATAGATGTTGCCAAAATGATGATAGCATACAGAGAATACATGGTTATTTGATTAGGCTGTGCAAATTCTGCATAAATCCACAGAACTCACGTGGGTCCCGAACATGCATAATATTCGGCTCAACTCAGTATTCTATTCTAAGAATTGTTTGGCCACAGCATTCTAATATTTTCTGCGTGGTTCCTAATGTTTTAATTTCTTTTCAGAATTCTTAAGAAGTGTCTCTATTAGGCCACTTAAAAAATTGTTTTTAATTGATTTCAGAAAGAGGAAAAGAGAGAGATAGAAACATCAATGATGAGTCATCAATCAGCTGCCCCCTGAAAGCCTCCTCCTGGGGACTGAGCGGGCAACCTGGGCACGTGCCCTGACTGGGAATTGAACCCTGACCTCCTGGTTCATGGATCGACACTCAACCACTGAGCCATGCTGGCTGGGCTATTAGGCCATTTTTAATGGTCCACCCCTTAAATCTTATAAGGGTTGCAAAGAATGTTGTCAGATGGATGAACACAGACACACAGACACACACAAACACACGCACATAAATCTAATATTTGATATGGCATATTATTAATCTTCAAACAGGCAATAGAATAAGTAAACAGCAATTTTTAAAGCATTACCATATGGGTAGCATGGTTTGGTTCACTCATGAAGGAAGGTTTGCTTTCTACTTGGGTTGAAAGTTTCATTAATAATGATAATGATGATATATAAGTGGTGGCTGAAGTTTTAACATATAATCATTAATGAAAAATCCCTTCACATTTCCAGGATCTCATCTGCTCTCCACAATAACCAAGTGATGTAGGTATTATCAACCCTGTTTTATGGCTGGCCAAGCTGGAACTTGAAGCTTACCCCATTAGAAAGTGGTAGAAATAGGGTCTGAACATGTACCTGCTAACAGCTGACTTTAGTGACTGTCCACATCTACTCATTTCAGAAACAGCATTCAAAGACCTTCCATGCCACCCCTTATCCAATGGGAATTTAAAAAAAATGTGATATTTTGGATGGGTTGTAAACAACCCCTTCCCTTGTATCCATATATCCCAAATGTCCTGAATTAAATAAACCTTAACCAAATTCAAGCATGTAATCACTGAGATAATACCATATCTTAATAGCTTGGCCTCAAAATTCAGAATTAATTTGCTTTTAACACTAAATTCAGGCTAGCCAAATGCCTATTTGCAACATTAGGCCACAAGTATTTGATTGATTTCTCTCTTCAGCAGTCTTTTTGGGTGCACTGAAATCCCACCACAGTCTTGCTTTCCCACCGTGGGGGCCCACATTGAGTGCCTCTTGGAGTTCTCTGCAAACCCTGCACCTTGGTAGTAGTGGCTATGGCATATCTTTTCTTCCTCACCTGCTTCCTCACCTAGGTCCTCTCTCCTAGGGCTTCTTGGGATGCATGCGGATAACTTATTGCTGAACTCAGAGTTAGGGCTGGGAAATAGGGCCCTAAATAATGCTACGTTCTTTTGAGCCCCAAAAGCTCAACATTTGAAGAAAGGAAACAATCCATCATTTGAGAATTCACAAGAGTATTAGAAGCTATTCTAAGCACTTTACCTATATTATCTATAATCTGTTCAATGACCTAGGGCTTAAGATATAGCTGGCAATATGAAAGGTACTTAAGGAATCTTCATTGAATAAATGAATGAATGAATGAACCCTCAAGGAGGCTAGTACACAGTTCTTGACCTGAATGTGAAAATCGAGGCTCAGAGAGTTTAAGTGACTTGCCCAAACAACCAGTGTTTCTGATAAAAAGTTGTTCACCGTTTCATGGCTTTTTCACTTGGTAAATTTAGCATCATCTTCTCTAATTATTTTACTAAGTAAGACTCCTTGGGCAGAAATAGGTGATATTAAGGTCCATAAATCTTTACCTAAGGAAAGGCAGACTGAACTGATGAGAAGAATTGCTGTATTTCTCTCACACTCAAGAGACGCAAGCAATTAATTAGATTGTTTAAGCAGAAATAATCCTCTCCGCCCTAGTTTGGTCACTGACCAAAATACTGAAAATATAAACTGGATGGCAAAATTTGAGCAATCAGTTGACACGGAGCATCTCCAGAGAGTACCACACGGTCATGCTTTCATGAGCCCAACTGTCTCCCTCTGCCTTCTCAGCCAATTCCCATCTGGCGTTTTCAGGTTCTGGCCAACCATGTAATGAAGGCAGGCTTGGAGCACTGGATGGTGGGAACATAATTCAGTGCTGGGTGTTCCTTTGGCTGTGCTCCACAAGGCCCTGTTGCAGGGAGAATGGAAATGCCATTCTGGCCACAGGCTTGCTGCGAAGGCTAGGTGAGTAAACCCTCAAGCAGTGCCAGCTGCAAGCTGTCATCTGAGAGCCCAGGTGACCAGTCACTGTGGGGCAATGCATAAAGACTTGGATTAGGAGACTGTGGAACAAATCTCAGCTTGGCCACTCACAAAGTAGGTAGTCTCAGAAAACAGAGATTCTATTCTAAGAATCTAGGTTTTGAAATCACACGAGCCTGGGTCTGAATTCTGCCTCTACAAGTTACTAGCTCCATAGCTTAGGGCAGGCCATTTAACCTCTTAGGATGTCAGTTTTCATGTTGTTAAAATTAGAATATTAATACAGACTTTGAAAAATTATGGTGAATGTTAAATGAGATAATAGAAGAAAATTGTTTAGCACAGTGTCTGAAAACATAGTAAGAACTCCTTAATTAGCAAGGGCTCCTGGTATACTCTTGGTGTAGCAGAAAGCCACCTGATCTACTACCAGAGAGACCTAGGTTCAGCCAGTGGCTTTTGTGAAGATGAAATGAAATATATTTGAAAGCACCTGGCATAATACACAGTCAGTGCTGCCATTAGATGGAAACCATCCCTCTGTCTTGCTGCCGTTTCATTTCCCTTGATACCTGCCATGGACTGAATATTTACGCCCCACACCCTACCCCATGATTTATCTGTTGTAGCTTTAATCCTCAATGTGATGGTATTTGGAGGTAGGGCCTTTGGGAGATATTTAGGTCAGGAGGGTGGAGACATTATAAATGGGATTAGTGCCCCACAAGAAGAGACATAAGAAAAAGCAATCTCTCTTTCAGCCATGTAGTGAGAAGGCCTTCTGCCAAGAGGACCCTCACTGGGAACCCAATTAGCCAGCACCTAGAATTTGGACTCTCAGTCTCCAGAACTGTGAGAAATCAATGTCTATTGTGTAAGCCACTCAGTCTGTGGTGTTTCTCTGTGGTAGCCTGAGCAGAGTGAGATAGTACCTTTATTTACAGTATAGTCCCCTTCCCCTAATCACAGTGTAGCTGTGCAGTAGCTACATGTTGGTGCCATAAACGCTAAGCTCTAGACAGTGGCCAGATGACAGCCCTTGGCATCCAGATGCTGCTCAAGCAATGTTTACTGAATTAAATTTTGTGAACTCTTATTTTTGTAACTTTGGGAGGTAGGATTGTATATGAATTAAGAGCATCAATTCTGTAGCCTGGATTCAAATCCCAGTTCTATCACTTACTAGCTGGGCAATTTCAGGGAAGTTAACCAACCTCCTGATTTATAAAATGAAAATAATATCATCAGTTCCTTTATATGGTTGCAATGAGGTTTAAATAGTGAATTGTAAAGGGCTTAGAACAGTGTCTGGCATGTTCTAGGAGTGTTTTGATAAATAAAATTTATTCACCATCATCAAAAAATCAAGGGGGAAGGCAATTTTCATCTTGATTTTCCTGGGATGATTAAATGGAATCATAATAGAGAAACATGTCTGTAAAGGGTAATGTCACACACTGATGCTATCTATTATGAGGTTTTTCTAGATCAGCTCCACTAGCTGAACTATACTCATAAAAAGGGCAAGAGGGGAATTAAGGATGGAAAAAATAACCCCAATCGTATTTGTACCAGCTGTTATCTATTCTGAGCTGTAGTTTTAAGATGATGAATGTAGAATGAAATGAGGGTGCCTCATTTAGAAGTCAAGTATTAAAGAGCAGGCTTACAACAGGCTTATGACAGATTTTAAATCGCATTGAAGTAAGTGCATAAGAACTCTATGTGAGATGGGATTTTAAGTGAGTTTTATTTCTCCTTTATACTTTTCTAAATTTTCCCACTTTTCTACAATGAAACATGTTACTTTGATAAACATATAAAACAACAAAGCAACTTTTGGGGAAAGAATTAAAATCCTAAGGAGAAAATTTTAGAGAAATTCATTTATGCGCATACACACACAGAAACACATGAAGGGGGAGACTAGACTCTCAAGAGATACAATACAAATAAATATTAATACTAAATTCACTGGAAAAATTTCTTTTCCAGGACAGCTGTAGTATGGCTGTTAAAATGGTTTTCACCCCCAAAAGAAAGAAAGCCAACTTAAGAATGACCACTGGCAGGTGGAAAATTACAAGAGGAATAGCACCGAGAATGTTCCTTGGGGAGAAAAGGGTGTGTAATCCAACAAATGAAGGAGTAACGACAAGCTGGTCATATAGTTCAACTCTCCCATCCAAAGCTTGAATCCCTTCTACAGCTTTCCTGACAATGGATCTTCTATTATCAGAATCACCCGGAGGAACTTCCAAAAAAATACAGATGTCCAGGACCCACTCCAGATAGTCTAAATCAGAATCTTAGCACATGTGTATGTGTGTGTGTGTGTGTATGTGTCTGTGCGTGTGTGTGTGTGTGTGAGGGGGTGGAAGAGGGGCAGGGGGGC